TTTGGCTTTGGGTTTTTTCTCCCTCTCTGACTGATTTTTACAGGGTTTTTTAATCTGAGCACCCCCTGGCTGCCTTGGCTTCTGCAGGGAGAGCCTTTCCTGCTGCCTGGTGACTCAGGCACTGCTGACAGGTTGGCTCCTGCCTCTCCCTGGCTGTTTGAGCCCTGCTGTCCATCCCATCCAAGCAGGGATTTGACATTCCCACAACAGTTGTGCCACGAGTCTGAGCAAGTGCTGCCTCCACGGGGAGGCTCAGCACACAAACAGGGTAAGGCAGCACCCTCACAGGAGCTGTGGAGCAGCTGCACCGTCCCTCCAGTCTCTGGATGTCCTTTCTGGTTCAAATCTCCAGCTTGAGTCCCCACTGAGCAATGTGGCACATTATAAAAATGATAAGAAAACACCTGAGTGGTGAACCCCATGAAATAAAGTATCTTTTATTTATAAAATGTGAAATAAAGTCTCTTTTAGGTCATGAAAGGCCAGCAGGAACCTTAGCTCCAGCCCTGGGCAGCAGCAGCAGCAGCATCAAACCACCAACATCTGCAAGTGTTGCAACATCTGCACCTACCAACACAATGCAAGTGCCTTGGGAGGCCCAAATTTCAGGGGACCATGTCCTGTTCCTGTGTTTTTCCAACTTGTTGCAAGGGAAGGATAACCCAGCCAAAGCCCTGCTGAGCAGCACTGAGCAATGTAAGTGATCATTTCACTTTGTTTTCAACCCAGACCTTTGCCTTGGGAATTTTAACAGAAGCTGTCTGAACCAAAAAGGCTTTTCCTTTTTATTCCACCTTTAAGCTGCTAAAAGCTGTACACTGGAAAATAGATATCCTGCCTGGGGCTTCCTGGTAAACACTGGGATGTTAAAACATCTTACCCCAGGCTGCTTTCTCCCCCTTTGCAATCCACAGAAGGAAAGAGAATTCAAGTTAAAAGGTTTGTTACACTCCTGTAAACAGCAGATGATTGGCAGGGCTTGACATCAGCAGTTTTTGCAATAAGATCCACATGTGATACAGGGGCTGAAGATAAAAGCAAGGAGGAGGACTGGAGAGGGCTCAGAAAGTGCTGCTGAAGGTGTTTGCAGAAGGCTCTGGGAATTTTTGACCAGTTCACATGGTTAGAGATCGGGGAGGCACCAAAGCAGCAGAATCCTGCTGGGGGACTGGGGGAAAGCAGCCCCAGAAAGGGACAGAGCTGCAAAGTGCCACCAGGCATTTCTGCCAGAAGGGACTGCTCCAGCAGAACTCTGAGGGAAAACAGTGAGGAAAATACCAAAGCAAACCAGCCAAACAAAGGGAAAAAAAAACCACCTTAAAAAACCCCCACAAACAAACAATAACAAAACAAAACAACAAAAACCCACCAAAAATAACAAACAACTAGGTAGAAGGGGAGATCCTTGCATTTCTACAAGCACAATAAGGCAGATATTTGGGAATGGCCAAGAGAAGCCATTTCCCGTTTCCTTCCTGGACTTCTGAGTCCAAACTCTTTTTCCTAAAAGATGTCCTGATTCCTCTAGCAACGTGATGGTTTGAGTCCATTGCTTGCTCTCTATCTACTCATACTGTCTTTAAAAACAGGACAGGGCATTTCTTTACAAACTCTTCATAAAATTCATTTCACCATGTACTGATATACAAAGGCAACCATTTCAATTTTAGTCTTGGACTACCTCTAATCTATATTACAAAAAAATAATGTGAATTAAATTATTTTACACTTTCATAGATCCTCTGAGCTATCACAGACCCCCTGCTCTGCATGGCCAGGGAACACTCTGAAATCCACAAACCCAGGGCACAGAAGGGATTTTCCTGAGGCACAAAATATTCTTACCCTGCCCCAGCCACAACCCTGTGTGATCCTCACCTGCACTGGGAATTTTCTCTCAAGACGCGTTTGCTAAAATCCAGCCTCAGTTTTGCACTCTTTTGAAAGGGCAGAAAACTGATTTCCTGTGGCTCAGTAATGAGAGCAGTAATTGCCACGGGGCTGACAATAATTTATGCAGAAGTTCTCAGTTGCTTCTGATGGCCTGTCAGATGGTGAAAGGGAATGCAAAGCAGATCATCAAAACCACTCCTGAGAACAACATTCTTGAAACCTGCACTGCTGCTAAGGAATATGAAAAGGAAGAACTGGGGTGGCTTCTGGAGAAGCAATAAAAGTGCACTTTTATCCAGAGATTCCTCTAGATCAGATTCCCTGATTGCACCAGACATGGAAATCTTGTTCTCAAAGACTCATCCAGATCTGAAATGAAGATATGAACGCTCACATCCATGATGCTCCACCCTTACACAAGGCTCCTGAGCACTCTAATATTTGTTGGAAGTGTGGATTTTATCCTGCTTTTCTCCTTCAAAAGCCTCAGGAGAAATATATTTTTCACTTCAACTGCAGACAGCAGCTAAATGTTAATCCTGTTACAGCATCAAAAGTAATGAGTGAGTTTCAAGAGTCAAGAAAAGAAAGAGTTATACTAATTTTTTTAAATAGAGATGAGTTCAATTTATTATACTAACCAGCAATGCCAATGCTAGATATAAGTTTAGGATGTGTGAGAGGCAGATATAGATATATTAAATAAAGGCAGATAAATGCTCAATTTACAAGTGGTGTTCCCCTGACACTGTGTTCTAAAGTCTCTTGTTTCCATATTATCCTTTAATCCTCCAAAGCAGGACTGTCACTTCTGGGGGGTGACAACTTTTCAAGTTACTCCAAGTAAGAAGTTGATGAGCTCAGAATATTGGCAGTGGTGGTTGAATAAATCAGTGTGGAAAGAAAACTCCTCTTAGCTCATTTTCAAAATAAAAATGCATTTCATTTGGAAAAACAAAAGAAAAAAATAGAATTTTAAAGAGGAGGCAAGATCAAGAATAGAGAACAACATGTGTCATCTCTCCTTTCTAACACCTGGCTGTACGTTCAGCAGTAAATATATTTTTTTCAAGGGAAAAAAACCCAACATAAAAGTTGCCAATAAGTGCATATTTCAATTAAATTTTCATTCTGGGGAGAGTCAGGAAAGGAGAATACTGAAGACAAACCCATTAAAATAATTTTCAAGTAGGATTAATCCCCACTTCACCAAGGCTAAATCAAGATTAATATGTCCATTTTCCAGTGTTTGGGACTCTTCAAAAAGGTCATCCAACAATAAATTAAAGATACCCTTGGCAGCAATTTATGATATACTAATTTTAAAATTAAATGGAATTATTTATACAGCTGCTCAAAGAAGACTTCCAAAAAAAGTGTGGAAGACCTTTACAATGTGTTCCACAAATTGGATTGCAAGATATTAATTAATTTGATTTATTTTCTTGTGTAAACCAGGGCAAAACCTTTCAGGAAAACAATTCTTAAAGCAGGGAGAGCAGTGACTATTGAATAGAATGCTGTGCTGTGGGAAAACACAAACACATTTTCCCAGGCTGTGCTGCTGAGCTTTCCAGACTCCCTCAAAATCTCAGCTGGCTCCTGTCTTCCCATGGGAAAAGAAACATTTTAAATGCACGATCAAAATAATAAGAATAACAATTTGAAAAAGAAAGGAACAAGCCTCCACTGCCTGATGACACAGTTCCCCTCTTCCTAAAACCTGGAGAAATCATGCTTTCAAAATTCCTTTCTCCCAAAATCAAATCAAATAAGGCAATATGCACGTTTAGTCTAAGGTAAATTTTAATTTTGTAAAGAATCTCTCATGGTTTATAATGTCCCCAAGGTATCCCACCAGAAATCATGCTTTCAAAATTCCTTTGCCCCAAATCAAAACAAAATAAAATAAGATAGGGCAATCTGCACATTTAGTCTAAGTTAAATCCTAATTTTGTAAAGAATCTCTTATGGTTTATAATGTCCCCAAGGTATCCCACCAGTGAGATGAGGTAATTCCAATAAATAACATTTTCTTCAGTTAAAAAAAAAGCAATGACTCCTTTATCTCTTCATGCCTAAATCGAGCACCTGCTGGATCAATAGCCCAGCATTCAAAATGCAGTGAGGAAGCAATGAAAGAGTCCCAATTATGTATAAAGGATTAAAGAACCCCGAGCAGGAGCCAGGAGCTGTGCATGGCTACGTGCTGATTGTGCTGCTGAATGGGAAGGGAAGGAGGAAGGGGCTGCAAGGAAAGCAGCCAAAGGAAACTGCAGCAAATGTAAAAAGCATTTCAGGGCTATATTTAGAGGAAGACATTCTTCCTACATTTGCCAAGCTGCTCACGTCATTTCACACAGCATGTTTGATCCAGCTTTAGAAGTCTGGGAGGGAGCAGGAGAGGGGGGGAGGAAAAAATCTGGATCAGCTGCCAGAAATGGAAATCTTGAATTTATGGAGAGGAACAAATATTTTAAGCATGTGAATTTAAGAGTGCTTTCCAAAGAGGGTGGGGGGGAAATGGGGAAAGAGGAGGGGGGCAGGCAGGGGGGTAAAACTTCCTGCAGCCAGAAAGGCTCTGCAGAACATGGATAATATTTACCAGGAACAGGACTTTGCTCCAATATTCCCTTTGGAGCCAGGCTCACGAGCCTGAGCTGCACCACTAAAAATACTGAAATGTGTGAATCTCACTGAGTTCAAGCCTTCATCTGGTGTAAACTGGAGATCTGTGCTCCTGCAATGGGATCCAGCAGTTACATAAGCAATTACATATTTCTCATCCATAATATGTGATAAACAACCACAAAGGATGAATCAAACACCCTCCAAATGCAGGCTCAGAGGTGCAAACTGTATCAAAACCACTCCAGTTTCACAAGAAAGTTATGATTTTCCTTTAACTCACGTCATGAGGTTCAGGATTTGCATAAAGAAACGTCAAGATGAAAAGAAAAATATGTCAGGAGCAGATGTAATGGGATCAGGAACAAACCACGTGGAAATTTCCTGTTGGTGACCTTCTGGAGGGTGGTGATGGAACTGATTTGAGATTTAGGACATGCTTTGCTTAAACTGAGATGACTTCTTTGAAAAGTTTTTACCTTCATTCCCTTCTCCAGGTGGCTGATAAAACGAAAGCCCCAAAGATATGATGGCTGCAATTTCCAAGATGATAAGAGTCACGTCCTGCAACGCTTCCCAAACTAGCTGTATGAATGTTTTTGGCTTCTTTGGAGGTATAAAATTTTTTCCAAAAATAAGCTTTCTTTTTTCTAGGTCTGCAGCAGTGCCAGCTAATCCTGTAAAAAAATAAAATAAAATAAAATCAGGTCAACTTGCCATGAAATAGAAAATGCATCCCTATAAATTGCTTCACCAAGAAAAATTCCAAGCTGTAGCATCTATGGCATATTGACAAATGTAAATATTACATTTCAATTGTGCTTTCATGAGAGGATTTGTCCTGATATTCTGAACAGAATTCTCACGAGCTCCATTTAGCACTAATTCCTGCCATGTTTAATCATTAAAAAGTCTTTGAATTCAGAGGTTTGTATTAATAAGACCTATGAATATACATATATACAAACAATGATTTCTGAAAATAGATCCTAAAGCACAAAGAAATTATTTTTGGGATGAAGCTGGAATAGCTGATGGAAGCTTTTGGTAATACCTGTAGCATATCACACAAACCTTTGCTCTGAATGCAGAGGATAAATCAATAAAGACTCTCTTGTGCTACTTCAAAGCAACCTCTGGCTGCAAATGGACTTCAGCACATCCCTGGAATGAGCTGCATCACATTTTTGTCACAGGAAAAAGGCAAAGTGACAAGTTAAATATGCACAGAAGGGCAAAAGGAGACAACATGGCTCCATGTGTGTTACATGATGCTTCAATTTAAGAGCATTTCAATTTAAGGACACAGGATAACAATGGGTGATTGTGCTGAACAATCCACTGGGGTAATTTTTCCCCCTCCTTTTTTAAATATATTAAAGGATGCACTTCTGGTGCCTTTCCAGAAAAGCAAAACAAAACCACCAAAAACAAACAAATAAAAACCCCCAAAACTTGCAAGCATCAAAGTAACTGAGCCCAAATATCCCTTTGAGCAGCATAAAAAACTGCAAGAAACCTTCCATATTTCTGACAAACAATTCCTGATATCATTGGTTAGATTGGAAAAGTCCTTTGGGATCATCAAGTCCAGCTGTTCCCCCAGCAATCCCACATCCACACATCCCTTAAATCCCTCCAGGAGTGGTGACTCCACCACAACCTGTTCCAATGCTGGTCACCCCTTCCTATGGAGAAATGTTTGCTAATACTCAATTTGTACCTTGGCGCTGTTTCCTCTTGTCTTATTTAGTGAGGAGACCAACCCAGCTGGAACATTTACAGAACTTTAGGTTTTGAACGTGATCAGCAACATATTTCTGGTTATTTAGGATTATTGATGGCTATGTATGGCTATCCATCATTACATGACACCAGGAAAACACCAGAGCTGAGGAACAGAAGGAGCAGAAGGTGTCTGTGAGAGAGGAAATTTGGAGGAGTAGAAGGTGCCTGTGAGGGAGGAAACCACCAACCCCACGCCATGGGGATTCCTGGATTTGGGGCAATTCCCTGCCTCCCCCAAAGCACATGGGATAGCTCAGGAATGGGAAGCCCTGCAAATATCCCCTCCAAGCAGTGAGGGAATGCCAAGGGTCCCCAGCAGCCCCGTGGCCCCCAGTCCCTCCCAGGTGCTTCCTTCATTTCCTCGGGACGAAAGCGATGCTCCCCTGGCTGGATCAGTCCTGCCTCACTGCAGGCACATCCTGACTCACCTTTCCCTTCAGGTGTCTCCTTACAGCTGCTGGGAGGCTTCTGGCTCTTGGTTAACTCATCAAAGTTTCATTTCCCCCTCAGCTGCTGAGAAACACGAGCCCCTCCCGTGGATCAGGGGTTATTATTACCTCACCCCGTTTAATTTGCAGGGCCTCGTGCTCAGTGACACTGGGACAGGTTCCAGCGTCTGCATCACCCTCCAGCATCCAAACTCCGCTCAGAGCTCCCAGGCAGCTTCCAAGACTGGGAAAAACAGGAGTTGCTGCCTTTTTTGTGAGCCCACGGAGGTCACAGAAGTTTGGGCAATGCAGGTGAGGGATGAGGCAGCCACTCCCAGGGACCAGGTCCAGCACACACCAAAGCAGGACACCCTGAGCAGCACCAGAGGCTGCCAAAAGGAAGGATTTATACTAAAAATCAGAGACTTATGGGATCATTAAGGTTGGAAAAGACCTCTAAGATCATTGAACCCAATTTTTAAGCCAACACTGCCAAGTCCCCAGGCACCTGCATGTTTCTGAATGCTCCCAGAGATGGTGATTCCACCACTCCCCTGGGGAGCCTCTTCCAGTGCTTGACAACCCTTCCATGGAGAATTTATTCCTAACATTCAATCTAAACCTCCCCTGGAACACCTTGAGAACATTTCCTCTTGTGGACCTTGTTCTCTGGGGGCAGAGCCTGACAGCCCCTGGCTGTCCCCTCCTGTCAGGGAGTTCTGCAGAGCCAGAAATTCCCCATGAGCCTCCTTTTCTCCAGGCCGAGCCCCTTTCTCAGCTCCTCCTCGTGGGACTTGTACCAAAGGCACCCACAATTTGCATCACACCCCCAAAAGTCAACCTACTCAACCTCACACGTGAAGGGAAAATTCCATGGGCACCACTGACAGGGATTTGGGGCAGAAATTTTAATCTGCTGCAGCTTCAGGCAGCAATACAAAACTCTGGGAAGGAAAAACTCAAAGTCTGGAAGGAAAAACTCAAAGACTGGAAGGAGCAGACATCTGAGCAATGCCTGTTTTCCACCACAGAACATTGGTGCTCAGTGGTGGGGCAGCTCCAGCAGCTCAGCACGGCTCTGGAGCTCTCCAGCACGGCAGGGATGGCTGGGACAGCACAGGGAAAAGCTGCAGGGATTCTCAATAATCCCAGTCACAGTTACCAGGGTGTGCTGAATTCCTGAGTTTGAATTGATGGCCTGTAGCTCGCTGCCAGAAGGGCACACAAAGGACAGCTCCTGTCCTGGGCTTCTGATTTGTGTAAAATACACCTGAGGAGCCTCCAAAGCCAAGGAGAGACTGCAACTCCAAGAGCTGCTTTTTCTCTAAGATAAAATTTGGCCATTTAGACACCATAAGGCTGAGGAACAGACTGTCTAAAGCCTCCATGGTCATCCTTATTTTCCTGACTATAGTCCACATAATGCTGGAATCCAGACATCAGTCATTCAGACTCTTCCATTTCTGTTAATATTATTTTCCTTAACAACCGCAAACAAGAGTAAATTATACAGATGATTTTATTCTTTTCTCTAAGCCTTGGTGAAATTACTCACCCTCTCAGTCTCATCTGAAAACCAGAGTATATTCATCTTTAATAATGAAATTTATTTCCTTGTAAATCATTTAGAAATCCTGGAAAATTACATCCAGTGTTCAGCTCAAACTAAAAGGTTTCCCTTCTCCTGTGACCCAGCCATCACTCAGAATCCTGCCCAGCAAAGTTTTGGGGCTGCTTTTTTTTTAAATTCCCACTGAATACCAGAAATGGACAAACTCTTCTAATGAGGGAGAGAAAGAGAAAGGAAAGGGGACAATGGGGAAATGTGATGAAATTGGATTTTAAGAGTTGTGTAGAGATAAGGGCCAGCAAAATGCATGGAATTTACAAAGATGTGGGGAAAGGGGCTGAGCCTCTGGGGCAAGGCAAGAGCTTTTCTCTGCAAAACTCCCAGAAATCCTCAGAATGCATAGGAAGCTACAAGAGGGGTCCTCCTGGTCTCTTCCAAGTCAGTGCTCTACTCAGAGAGGTTATTTTAATTATTCCTGGGGGGTTCTGAGCGAGGCTGGGCTTGGCCAGGCTGGAGGTGGCTGGTGGTGCCCAGATGGCACAGGCAGCCACGAGCACAGCGAGGGCAGCACGGGACATCTGCCCCCAGCAGCACCTGAGCCTGGAGATGCCTTTCCTGCTGCTCCAGGCACGTTGGGTTTTTATCATGTTAAACACACCCACTTCATCTCCTGAATATTATTGTTTCATTCCTCCCTGGAGCCCTGTGACAACAATGAAAGAGCATTGCAGATGAAGGCAATTTAAAACATCATTTCTGTGCGAGGATAGAAAACATCCAAGGACGTGGAGAAGAACCAATGGGGACTAAAAAACATGAATGGAAATAGAAGCTCAGCAGGACTTGAGATTTCACATATTCCCAGCACAAGCAGCAGCATCCCATTTCTGTTCAGTGTGGCAATAAAAGTCACAGACTGGCTGGGTTTAGGTTCATTTCTCCACACAAGCATGAATATTTTATTTAAGTGCTTTTCTAGGTCAAAGCTGTGCAGTACAACTTTGCTTGACCCGGGTGTTTAGAGCAGATGTGCAGATTCGGGTTAAATTTACATACAAATATTGCACACAGGTTCAGGAAATACTGTGAAAATTCACTGAGGCTTCCAGCACTTGAGTCATTTCTTAAGGTTTCATTTTTCAGAAGTTTTCACCAAAATTTGTGGGAGAATGAAAGTGATTGCATAGAAAACTTTTCCTACAATGTGGTGCAGTATATTAAATTCATTTAGGATTTAATCTGGCATTGTTGCCTTTTTGGAGGGAGAAAAAGAACGCAGAACTGGAGAAATGCCACTTAATGAATTTTCTCTGTTCCTTATCTACATCTGCCAGTTCCTGCACATTGAATATAAAGCAATTTTTTCAATTAATGCCTGGAAAATTGTATTTTTCTGACAGTCATCTCTGCTGCAACCAAATGGAGCATGACAAACACAGAATGATTCTGATGCTGCAAAAATAGCAAAAGCACAGCACATCTAACACAAGAATGAAAAAAAAAACACCATAAAACTTTTAAGAGAATGTTTGAAATTGGCTCAAATTAGGAGCTGAAGAATGAAGAATTTACATTTGCATTAATTGCACAAATAAAGCATACATTGCTTATTAAATTCCTTCTGTGCTTTTTCTGATGCAGCCAAAAAAATAAAATAAAAATTTCAAATAGCAAAACCTGTAAATAATGGTATTTTAAAAATCAAATGTGAGATTTATTCAGCTTGGAAGCGAAAGGTTTCCAAGGATGTTGTGGAAATGAAGGGAGAGAGGGAAAGCAACTATTTTGATTAGAGATAATTAAAAATTAGGTGTGACACACCTGAGTTCTTCCTGTGAGAACCCATGGTTTTATCTCTGAAGCCAAAATCCCCTTTTATCTCTGAAGCCAA